TCCACGTGTCATTGAGAGAGCGTCGCTTTGTGAGCCGGTTATCGTTTATGTAACCAGTAACGAGCGCGGAGTTCGTTAGTGTAAGCGTATTTCACGCAAAAGGTTACTTTGAGCTCGCTCAACGACGGTGAGTGAAGAAGGATGAAGAAGAGACGGGGAAGAAGGGATAGGAGAAATGGTGAGGGGACAAGGGGACGAGGTAGATCCCGAGCGCAATTACATTATACGCCCTCCCTAATTAGCGGAATTTCCAACTCGCAACACGATGTTGTTGTGTTCGCAGCGGATAAACGAGTCCGAAGTCTAAAATAATGTTGCATAATAAAATTAAACAATGCGAGCATTGCTGTTAATTAGCGGCGGATCTGGGACGAGATAGAGATTGAAACGCGTACGGCATGGTCGGGGATTTCCAACGATTGGACTGTTGCGTCATAACATACACGTGCGCGACACATTATAAAATCCACCGCTGCTCTTGTTAGGATTAATGATTAAATCGGGCTTTGTTATCTTTAATGGGGAAACAGTGATCTCTCTAAATGCAAATTTTATTTTCTCTCAAGTTCTCACGATTCAAATCGGCGTTATCTGCACGTTCAACACTTGTGGTTGTGTACAAATACAACGGCATTCTCACTTAACGACCATTTGAATATTGCACTATCGTTAATTTCGATGCACATTGTGCTTTCACGTTGAAAAAGTAATATCTCCTAAAATATCTTGATTGTTTAAATAGAATTAAAGATTAAAAGCGATCTTCCAGATGAACCAGATTCTCACATTTACATCGGATTTCAGCACCGGTAGAGCGAAAATTACAACATCCGGCATTGCCAGCTTTGTCTGACATTACCCGTTCTTATGCTACTTTTATATCTCCGCTGTTCGTATTTTCTCGAAAAATCATTCTATATCATATAAAATTATAATAAAAATAATAAAACAAGATATTAAACTTTATATGTACGATTCACAGAAATTTATTGTGCAATGCACAAATGTATTAAAAAGATGTTGCAAAATATTCATCAGAAATTACTCTAAATATACTTTTATATATTTTCGCATTATATTGTAATAAACTACGTTATAGAGTTATAATAAAATTCTATTATATAAGACATATATTAGTTAGTGTAAGTTTAAAACTTATTAAACTTACACTGTGTATAAATATATTTAAGCAAATTATGATCAATTGCCATGAAAAATATGAAATCAATTTTTAATTAAAATTTAATTATAAGATTCTGTCTGATTTATTTTGAACACTCGATTTATTTTTAAATAAAGTACCTCACAAATACCTTACAAGCTTCAAATAAAATTTAATAAACGCAATTTATCACAGTATTTAATTTTTAGCCGATTATAACTTAAAAGCTATTGGTGCCACACAAAAAATTGCTAAAAATATAGGAATTCCTGGAGTTTTTAATATACGAATGTGTTAGATTTACGGATATTTTGAGGGTGGAGCAAGGGGCGGCTGGCTTTGAAAAAATCCGTGCAACGGGATGACTTATGCCGCGTTTTCATGCGGCGTCGAGACACCTTGCGAAGAGTGAAAAAGGACCGCGCCATCATAAATCAGCACATTAATTCGTAACGAGATTAGTATAATAAATCATCGTCCACCCGGTATTTGCATATGCCGTGCATTACTCTCGTCATGTGACCCTCGTCTTCCGGATAGTCGACGTTAAACGTTGATGACGTTCGTGAAGTGAATATCACAATTAATATTAATCTGAGTTTTTTTTTAGAACTTCTAGAATATTAAACGAATTTAGTATGTTTAAATTTCATCGACAATTCTACAATTTATAAATATATAAACATTTGCAAAGAAGTTAAATACTATACTACACATGCTTTGAATAATACAAAACGTGAAAAATACGTTTTAAAAAGTAATTTGATGCAAAATTCAAATCGAGTTAAGTGCCTGTTTATTTGTAAAAGATAATCTTATTTTATTCGCATGGGGTTTATCGTCTCAAAATTAAATCGAATAATAAATTACTCCAAATTGAGAGGTTTTTTCAGAACACTTGAGGATATCATTGGGCGTTTTCTTCTTTTTCGCGTCACCCAATAGAAAAAATCGATTCGCTTTTCGGGAGATACAAGCAGCGTCAAAGGGTTAAAGCTTATCGCGTGGGAACTCTTTTACTCCATTCGTTCGCACACCCGATGGAATTAGCCATCGCTAACCACCCCCTGCAGCCACCCTTCGTCCTGACCCGCGCCAATAAGAACGACAAGCGCGCGTGCGCGTCCTTTCTTTCTTCGTTTCTCTCTCTGTCTCTCTTTACCCGTTCTCTCGGGATGGCAGTTTCTACGCCACGATTACCCCAGAAATCTTTCTTCGGCTAATGCAAGAACTGTGTTTCCGGCGGTTCGCCCGATGCTTCGCCTACCTTCGGGGCGGACAAGCACATACACACGCAAACGCGCGCGCGCGCGCGCGAATAGTGACGTGCATTTACAAGTGCGACTTGCCACAGGGGAGGGGAAAGCGGGTTAGAAATAGGAGGGTGGACAGCTTTGCGCTATAATGCAGAAATGGTGAGAAATATTTGGATAAAAATACGGATGGCTTTGAGATACGTACGAATCAAGAACATAATTGAGGAATTTTTCGAAATTTCGAATTTTGTAGAAATTTCAAAGGGTTTAATTTTCCAAACATATCAAATTTAACTTAAATATAATTATATTTTATAGCGAATTTGTGTAACGAAAACTTTTGGAATAAAAGCATTCTTTTCTGTGAAAGATGCAACGTAATTTATTCATCTCATTTTATATTTACATTATATGAATAACAAATTTTAAACTATGACAAACTCTATTTGCTAAATTAAGAATGAGCTAAAATGAAGAAAGAATAAGGAGAGGATATATTTGCTAATGTAATGCAAGAAATACTCGGATAAAAGAAGAGGGCTAGTGAAGGATGCCGAAAAAGGTTGTATCGGTACACGAGTGTCCGGAAAAATTCGATGCTGATACGCGTATTCGATACTCGAGAGATAGCATAAGGGGAACATGTAGGACATGAAGGACATGGATTACGGGGGAACGTATAGGATACGCTTCAACAATCTCATGTGTCCCACGGGCGTGTTCAACAATCTCATGAGCGCTTCTCATATATGACAAATAAATGGCACGGATGTTTCAAACTTCTACGAGAATCATAATCATCTTTTTTTAAATCCGTAGCATAAAAACACGTACACATTAGTGTTCAATTAATAGTAAAATATAAAAAATAAAAAACTGTGCGTTATTTTTCATTCTTAATATTTTCTGTAACTATTAAATAATTTTCTATCTTTTTATTTGTATATATATCTAATTGTAGATTTGATAACACAACAAATGTAGAAAATATCAGCCTAGGTCAAAATATCAGTTACTCAAATAATTTTAAGCCGTCATGCAACTAATGTTTGTGCCATTAGAATTAATTAAATTCCGTTATTAGAGATAAGAATCGCTCTAATTATAGAGCTTTATTCATGTTTAATAGGGAAATAGAGTATGATGATCTCTGCTCTATTTAGCGAAGTGTGCTGCTTTATAGTAATCATGTGTGTACTACTAAATCCGAGAGCGTCAAGTCCCAGATTTTAATCCTATCGTCGGCGTTTGTTTATTTACGCGTGCGATATTCAACCCTACCTTTGTAAAACGGTCTACGCCGTATGTCGTCACAACGAAACGATCGGCGGGATATATTCCCATGGCCTTCTACAGCCGGGTTTCCGCAATTTCTGCGCGCGCGTCCTAATGCGAATGCGGTGTTTCTAATTTAATATCTTAAGAACCGGCATTTACCCACGTCAGCTATGTTGGATTAGGATGCCAGATGCGAGGGTAATACACGCGATTCTCACCATTTACGTTCGCATGAACGACTTTTCGTTTTAAGCGAATCTTTTTTCATTCGATAAAGCACAGTTTTATGTATAACTTGTTTTACAAAATTTGCTTTTAATACGTATCGAAGATTTTCGAAACCTTAATTATAATTTTCCTATATATATTATTGTAGACTTAATAAAAAATTGATAGCTTTTTTTAAACTTGATTTATCGAATTAAAAGGTTTAGCAAATTTTACCTTATATAAAATAAATAAAAGATCGATGTGAAAAATCCAAGTTAATTATACTTCGACTAATGGTATTATGAAATTATTTTAGTATAACAATGTATAATATGTGCATAATATTCAATAATATAACATTTTTATTTTAATCTCCTCTCGCAAATAAAGGAAGATAATTTCGACGAAAAGAATTAATACAATGTTATCTGAAAAATTTACGTTAACCAACCCTCTTTTCAATATTACATTTTCAATATCTATTACCGACCTATATAGCGCGCTTTTTATATTTTTGCACAAGTCATAAATATGTCTTATAGAGGATGCTTGGTGTCGTTTCGTAAACGCTAAGAGTGATACACTTTCTCCCACAAGTATTGAATAAATGATCACGTCAAAGTGATCCTTCATATCGCCGGCATGTTACGCTTCGTTGCATATTAATGCAAACCCCTTTTTCATTCCTTGTGTTTCATTATCAGTTTACAAAGTGTCGATATATGTCAATATGTCGATGAAAAAATAACGCCTGTCGCCACAATCCTATTGCTTTAAATTTTTTTTCTACGAATAAACAATATTTTTCTAAAACTCTTTTTAAAAATCTTTTTATAAAAATATCATTAGACGTAAAAATATTTTTCAAATGTGTCTCATCTTCTATGAATATTATAGAATACAATATATGTGTATGTGATAAAATTATAAAATATATAATGATATTTATATGTAGTCTTTTACAATGTTGCAAGTTACATAAAACCCCTTTTAGTAAAGCATTTTTTTTTTTAATGTGGTACGTGCAACCTTCTTTGTGTCTCTTAAAATAACTCTTCAAATAATATGATAAAAGAATAAAAGAGGTTACTCACCGAGAATCTGGCTGAGGACGGTGCGACCATCTTCGCCGAGACACGCACTGCGTGCGTCAAACGGATTTGTGAATTGCACGAATGCGTAACCCTTGTGCATAGAAATACCTGTCAAAAAAATGCAAAAGATCAAACTTTGAATTTTGTAAGATTTATAAAATAAATAAATTTGCGCAAAAAATATTCTATCAATATCTTAATTTTACGATAACATATTATTTTTAATATATATCAACTTTCAATTTTATTTTCATTATTTCTTATTCAATATATACATCATACAGGTCTCGACGCTCGAATTCGAGCAAATGACTGGAAAGAGAAGGAGAGAGAGATACATCATGTTTAATAGTATAATCGTTTGTTTCAATTATAAGCAAACTTGAAAAAGAAATACAAAATAAATTTTTTAATATATATGCTCGTATAAAAATCATAACTTTATTAAAACATTTAATTTTTATTTTAAAATAATTTTAAAAAATATAAAGATTATCTACGCTCTTTTCATAATAGAATAAATTTTATCTAAAAAGCGTTCTATAAAAATTTCAGTAATGGAGATAATCAAATGAATCTTTTCAAATAAGCCACCCTATATATATATTTTACAAAAAGAGAAAATTGTAAAATAAATAACTGCAATTTATAAAATGTTAAATGAAAGAGAGAAAAAGAAGGAGAATCGTAAATTTAGAAATATTTAAAATATATAGAAATATATAGGAATATTTAAAATATATGGAATAGTATCGCGCATAATTACATAACTACAAACTTTCTTACAAGTAATTCTTTTTAGGTCTCTAAAAAACTTTTCGCACATAAATATATAAAACAAAGTTTTATTGGACAAACTTCAACCGAAAGCAAAATCTCTAAATTAAATAATAAAATTTCCAAATGATTAAATACAACTCCGAAGAATATTAAACATTTTTGCAAACCAAATTAATAAAAACAAGAGCGCGTTGTTGCCGGTCGATTTTGTCCGCGCGGCAAGTCGCATGGACGCGACCTGTAATCTGTGTATCCGTAATAACTTTTGCGTGGTTAGCAGCTGACCATGCATGGAATTCATTATGCCGAAACAAATATGTAAATCTAACCTACATGTATACGCGCATTCTCACACAGATGTGTACGCGTGTTATGCTCTGGAATGCAAATACTGTCCATGCGAATCCGCTTCGCTGCCAAGCTTGGCGCAAGGGATGTTCATAGTTTTCATCGTTGCTATTGTTATCGGCTCATTCTTCAATAGCCCGCCAAAGAATTGTTGAATAGAGATAATTTAAAAATAATCGAATTTCATACGGACTTTGGGGAAAAAACTAACACTTTAATAAAATATTAAAAACTAATAATGATAAATTAGATTACCATTTTATTTATAATATATGTGTCTTTAATTATTTTTTTTTATAATATTATAACAATATTAGAAGAATAGAACAACGTAACGTTTCAAATATCTATTAATTTCTGTAAACATTACAACAATTGCTATAATAATTATTAAAACACACGCAAACAATATTAGTCTCTCAAATATTAAATTTAATATATTACTGTAGAAAATATTATTTATAAAATAAATTACTAACAATAAAATATATTATGAAATTTTCAATTTTATTAATTTTTTATGTTTACAAAAATATTACTACTTTTGTTTGGTTCATAACTTGCCTCATTTTTTTCCTATTGATCTTAAAATCCTCGAATTTATTTATTCTTTGTTTTTGGCGAAAGTAAATTTATCATGTATTACATAGCGATCCTGTCGATGTCTCGAAACATTTAACGCTTCGGAACTCGACTCTCCGATAAAGCACTATATCATCCTCATATCTCAAAGCTTAAGCCCACCCCTCACATTTTTCGAGCGGCGTATCAGTTGAAAGGAGATCGTATCGATCTTCGATTCTCGTAACGTAACTCGTCATCGTCGTAACGTTTATTCCAGAATTTAAATCGCTGTCTGCGCGCATGTCATACGTAAGGGGACGGCGGATGTGTTATGTGTGCATTTGTGCACGGCGGGTGCACGAGTTCGATATCGACGCTCAAGAGATCGTTCCGCGACGAAATTTATTCTGGCCATAAAAACCGCGATAGCAAAATGCGCGACCGTAAGTGCAAGTATATGTGCGAGCACAGGATGGTTGATATGATGCTCTTCGGTTGTCATTATTTTATTTTCGGGATTGCGAATGTTTTCAGACGAATTTTTTGACATGTGACAACAGATAGATCTCTTTTATATATCTCTTTTTCTCTTATATTTTTTATGCAAAAAATAATAATTTACGTTAAGCTTTTTCTATTTTACATTTATTTTTAATCTATATATAGTATGCACAAAGCTAATTGTAAGTTTCAACTTTTTCAAAATCCACACGTAAATTATATTTTGCTACTTTTATACATGATATTTCCATACATTGTAGTGATTAACAAATTTCACGTAATTTTTTTATTAATAAAAATAAAAAATATTTTAATGCACAAAAAAAGATTAATTTGCTAAGCAAACATATTTACTTATTTTTGGTATTAAAACTCAAGCATTCAAAGATAAGAGTGCATCAGAAAATCGTTATAGAACCATTGAAGATATCGATCGTTTTTGTTGGTTCTAACCACTAATGGTAATATAATCAGTCGAGAGATTTTGTAGAGATGCTTGCACGGTTTCGAAAACGTTCAACGACGAACATAAAATCAATATAGAACCAGCATTCGCGATGAGATCTTGAGAATGCTACAAAGATATGATATAAAATTACAGAACACCATTATATAACATTGTACCAAAAGAATTCTAAGAACAGAACGCACTTGAACAAAGAATGATACTGAGCTTCTATTTTATTTCGATTCTATATAAGATACAGATGCTATAAATCAAAACAAATGAGAATCATTATTATTATTTTGCCAAATTCAATATATGTTATTTTTACTGCTTTTAAGCAATAAAAGAATGGAAATATATTATATATTTTTAATTTTAGAATTGTACAATTTAAAAAAAAAAAAAGAGAAGAGATAAATAGAAGAAAAAGAAAAAATTTTCTTATAAATATAAATTGATAATATCTTCCTCTTTAATTATTTGTACTCAAAGTCAAAAATATTAAAAAATGAAAAGTGAACGTATAAGCAAGGATCATGGTTCCACATGAAATTGCAATTTTCCATGCGAAGTTAGGATGCCTTCTACTTTACATCGCTCGATGCTTCCAGTGTGACGAGTGAGACGAGATCTACAATTATAAGGTCGCACATGAGTTTGTTACTTTCCGTGCGAAACGAGGTAGATAAATTTCTAACATATGTGCAAAGTTACAAACTCATTTACATAAATCTTTATTTATTAACTTTTTAATAACGAGTGACGGTTAAAACCTTTTAAAAGTTACTCGGAATAATGATAACATATGATATGGTCAAAATCATTCGAGATGAGTTCTCTTGTCTACATATTTATCCAATTCTGAATTATCTAAATAAAAATAGCATCAAGACCGAACTAAACGTAAGAACTTTTGTGATAGAAATAACTGTTAACAGTTTTTAAAGTGAAAACAGTGAATAGTTTTGTAATAAAAAATCGTACATGATTTATTTATTCTTCCTTTTAGTTCCAAATAACCGAATAAATTCAATTGTGAAAAAGGCGGAAAACGTTGAAACAGAAAAATGAAAATCAAAGTTTAATTTGATAGAAAGATCTTTACGAAAATAAACAAGTTCGCTCTTTGTAACAATTATTTTGTATTTTTCGTAACTATGTTTTTGTAAAGGTTGTCACTCTCCAAAGTGACGACCGAGTGCCTCGATAACAGCAATATTGTGTTGAGGGCCTGTTACAGTGAATTTTTCCAATGTTTTGGCATTTATATAGAACAAATATCGACTTTATATTGGAAAACTTGTCGATAGAGAGACTCTCTAGTGTTATCTGGGCATTCGACAGTACCGATTTAAATCATTCTAGCGACGATTTCTTTCAATACGCAGCTGTTATATACGATGTGCCAAAAATGCCATCCCCTTCGTTCAGACTCTTTGGATAACTGAAAATCCAGTTTCCCTTAACAAAACATTGATTAGTGATTTTTCACAATTTATATATATAGTATTTTACTTAATTTTATTACAATTTATTTTAGCAAACTTGAAACTTATAATATATATATATCATAAGTTCCAAGTTTACTAAAGTAAGATGTAATAAAATAAAGCAAAGAATAAAATTTTTAATCAAAAAAGTTATTCATTAATTTAAAAAATTTTCTATTTTGAATTTTTTCTTTCCTTCTCTTTCTGTTGACAAAAATATTTTAATGTTTATTCTTATAAGTTAATTGTGTTTAAATGTCAAAACAACCCTCATTTTTTTAAGTAATTCGTTTTAATATTTACATTTTCTTGGGTTATAATAATTATTATAAACTATGTATATTTTACAAAAAGAGATACCAAATTACAAAAGAAGATTATTGCAATGTGTATTTAACTCTTTCTGTTCCATTTTCTAGAATTTGTAAATCTCGTGAAAAAAAAGATTATGAAAATTGGAACGATCTTTCTGTCAAGAATTCTGTCTTTAAATCGGATCTCAAACAGAAGTAATTTCCGAAAGCCGGCGATCGTATACATTTTCGCGTTAAACTTTGTTTGTAAAAGAGATATTCGATTCGTAGAATTTGTAATTTATCTGCTATCGCGCGTTGCACGCGGCATCGCCTTCGTACAGGACGCGGCTTATCCTTCGTATCGGCGTCCCTCTAATCCAGCGAACGCCTTAATTCCTGCAAGGACGAAGTTGCCCTTATTGTCTTCGTCCTTTATTGAGAAAGTAAGCTGTTTATCGGCAGCTAGCAGCTCCTTGTAATTTCGACATCCGACATTTGAAATTGCGATTTTGCCGGACAGAGCGGCAGAATAACTTCTCGATGAAACCTGGCGACGCTCGACGTTGGAACGCCAATATCACCTGCGTCGACGCAAAACTAATTCCGCAGCATTCTTCATCCTTACTGTATAATTTTATCTCGCGTTATACCGCTTATTACGTTATTTATTGCACTATATTT